GCGCCACGGCAAAAGAAAAAGCGCCACGGCAAAACAAAAAGCGCCGCGGCAAGCGCAAAAGCGCCACGGCAAGCGCAAAAGCGCCACGGCAAGCGCAAAAGCGCCACGGCGAAAGCAAAAGCGCCACGGCGAAGGCAAAAGCGCCACGGGTTTATTGGGAAGGGGCGTAATCATACATGCCGCTACTACATCAAAAAATAAAATGGGAAGGAGAATGGCCGCCACCAGGAATTCTTATTAAGCACAGAATTTAATTCTTTGAGAAGTGATTTTATGGCTGAGTAAATAGCAAGGCCAAGGAAAACCGGTCAGGAAATAAATCGTCGATATTAATTTGTTGTAGGATTATTATTATTCCAAGAGAGTTGCTGCCGTGAATCAGAGTTTATCAAGGAGTGGGACTCGCTATCAGCACCATCAGGGCCGTTCCTCATTTCTGCAAACAATTACGAGGACGGGAGGCTCTGTGAGCTGATACATTTTTTGAAGAGTTTTTTTCCTTCCGACTAGCATGCAGAGAAGAGTTCCGTTAATTTGAGACTTAGTTCACCCATGGGCGTCGCGAGGGGGCAAGGGGGCGCTCCCCCCCCCCCCCCCCTGGAATAGCACACAAAAAAGGAAGGGGAAAAAACTGAGAGAAAAATAAGAAAAGAAAAAGAGGCGCGAAGTCATAGTGGTGTAAATTGAATGAGTTGGGGGGGGGGCAAAATGTCCCTGCCCCCGTCTAAAACTGAGAAATCGAGAATTTGTTCAGAAATACAAGAATTTTTTGGGAAAAATATGTTTTGCCCCCTTTAGAAAAAAATTCTGGCGACGCCCATGAGTTCACCGGTGTGTACACACAGAATTGTTTCACATACCTAGTGTAGACTTTCCTTTCTTTTCGTGTAGTTAAGGAACACCAGTGGAAAAACTCATTTTTCTCAAACTGTGAAAACTCTTACAACCCAATTTTTTTCAATGATTCCCTTTAGTGTTTCTCTTCATTCTGCTACAGATAAACCTAACCCCAAAATGCCTCTAAACCTGTTTTCCAGAAATGGGAAACACTGTGTGGACGTGGGCAAGTCCACACTTCGTCGCTGCTACCTACATTATGTGGACGTCTTTTGTTCGGAAGTCCACACTGCGTATGTAAGACAAGCTCACCAGTGTAGGCACACAATTGAGCTGCCCAGAGTTTGGATATACAATAAGAAAGAAAGAAATTAACTCAGAACCTAGAACTCATTGGCCCACCCACCCCCGGCTCAAGAAACCAACAAGCCGAACAAGACCTCATGATGCTTAGCGATAGCGATGATGAGTTGCCATGTGGACAGTCTTCCACATCATCGCAGAATTCAGCCTGCAGGGCAGAAAGAGGGCTTGTTTCCGGCATCAAATAGTTCCGTATTCACTCGAAACAAAGCAAACGGCTCTTTTCAGAGCCACCAAATTTTCATAGAAGAGCTTAGAACTGTGCATCTCAACGATAACACTTCTCCTTTGTTTAGTGTCTCTCCCTTACCCCCCCCCTTTTTAAAGTTAATTTCTTTCTTTCTTATTCTATATCCAAAGTCTTCGCCTGTGTTACGTTCCTTACATGAAATCCACGACCTAACCTCCTCTGTCGAAAGCGTTGCAACTGTCTAATAGAACGATCCGTTTCTCGATTTGTGAGTTATCTTCAACTCAGTCGTGTTTATTGGGAAGGGGCGTAATCATACATGCCGCCACTACATCTAAAATTAAATGGAAAGGAGTATGGCCGCCACCATGAATTGAGAAGTGATTTTATGGCTGAGAAAATAGCAAGGAAAACCGGTCAGTGCAATCAACGTTCAGCGAAGAGTTTTGAAATTCCCGCTCTCTGGGAATTTCTAACCTAATGGGCCCGCGGGCGAGTTACGTGTTGACAAGCCTTACCCACCCACTGCCGCAGCCCTGCAGGAGAGCCTTAATCGACTTCCTATAGATGTGTATGATATACTGAAAAAGAAAAAAAAATTAACTCATACACTCTGGGCAGCTCACTTTCGTGCCTACACTGGTATACACACCTGTGAAAAAAAGGCTCAAATTAACGGAACTCTTCTCTGCATGCTAGTCGGAAGGGGAAAAAAATGTTTTAAAAAATGCATCAGCTCACAGAGCCTCCCGTCCTTGTAATTGTTTGCATCCCACGAAATGTAAAGAAATGAGGAACGGCCCTGATGGTGCCGATAGCGAGTCCCACTCCTTGATAAACTCTGATTCACGGCAGCAACTCTCTTGGAATAATAATTATCCTACAACAAATTAATATCGACGATTTATTTCCTGACCGGTTTTCCTTGGCTTTGCTATTTTCTCAGCCATAAAATCACTTCTCAAAGAATTAAATTCTGTGCTTAATAAGAATTCCTGGTGGCGGCCATTCTCCTTCCCATTTTATTTTTTGATGTAGTAGCGGCATGTATGATTACGCCCCTTCCCAATAAACCCGTGGCACTTTTGCCTTCGCCGTGGCGCTTTTGCTTTCGCCGTGGCGCTTTTGCGCTTGCCGTGGCGCTTTTTTGCTTGCCGTGGCGCTTTTGCGCTTGCCGCGGCGCTGTTGCGCTTGCCGCGGCGCTGTTGCGCTTGCCGTGGCGCTTTTGCTTTTGCCGTGACAGTTGTGGGCCACCGTAGTACGCAAACTAAAGTGACCCAATCTGATGAAGTGTTTGATTATTATTATTTGATGGTGATTGATTAAAACAAACAAGAAGTTTGATTGTGAATTATAGCCACTTGTCTCTGCTGCCTGACTGAATTATGTCAGTTATTGTCTTTTTAATTAAGTAATCTGCCTCAGAATAAAGGTTTAGAACAAGACTTTAGGCCAGACTCTTAGGCAAGACTTTAGGGTCAGACTTTATAGGGAAAGACTTAAGAGCCAGACCTAAGGCCTATAGGACAGACTCAAATTGCCTTCTCCACCCCAGCCTTCCCTTTTCTATTGCGTTTGCGCGCCAAGTTATAGTCCAACCCCTCCCCTTACCCTTCCCCTATCCATAAAGTCATCGAGGCCTTGAAGAAAGCTTCGCTACCAAACGAACTCCACTTGGTTCAGGTTGACGTCCTGAGGTTGTGACGGCGCCCTCAACGCTGGTCCCGGTCAAGCACTAGCTCAGCCATACATCACCGATTTCTCCTGGTTATTAATCCCGGTTTTTTTTTAGGGATTCGTTGTACCCCTGGGTATATCGAGCCCCGGATTCCCGTTACAATATCTACCAGTAGTCTATTTCCACACGCAGTGCGCAAGTTAGCGTTGATGTATCCGGCATGCAGGATATTTTGCTGACTTATTAACAGTGGAGATGGAGATGACGCCACTTCACTTCCGTGATTGTGTACAAGTCTATGGAGAGTCCAGAAAATTTCAAAGTATTTCCAAACAGAATTGGAGATAATTCTCAGTCCCAGATTCATGTCTTATCATCATTTTCGCAATGAATGACCTTCATTGAGATGATATATCAAGTAAAAAGTGGCGTCAGGTTGCAACATTTTTCCCGCCTGTGTCTTGTCAAAGTTGAACTTTCCAGCCATGGGCGTTGCGATGGGGGGGGGGGGGGGGCACTGGAAAAGCAAAAAAAACCAAGAAAACAAAGAAAAGAAAAGAAAAGAACAGAGGCGAGAAGTCATGTATTAGTGTAAATTTAATGGGGGGGGGGCGGGGAAAATATCCCTGCCTTCTAAACTGATAAATCGAGAACATGTTGAGAGAAAAAAGATTTGTTGTTGGGAAAATATGTTTTGCCCCCCCTCTAGAAAAAAATCCTGGCGACGCCCATGTTTCCAGCTCTTGCACGAAACTTTACCTGATGAAACCATTCGTTTATTTAGCTCAACTGCGCATGTCTATCATCACGCCAGGAGCCAGGCGCGAGTCAACCTCGTCCCCAGAGAGCAGGTAGTGGTGGGTGCGTACTGCTCGACACCCTGGGGACGAGGTTGGGCGCGAGTGAGCTGGGGGAAGTAATCGAACGCACTCAACACGGAGCGGGCGTACACTCCGGTGTCGTGCCAAAAACCGTCCGGTGCCAAATAGTGTCCGCTAATGAGCATAATGCGTTCTGATTTGTCATGCGTCTATGACGTCACATTGTTTACGGACGCTCGCCAATTGCCAAATAGTGTCCGCGCTTAGCGGGCATCCTATTGCGTGCCTTGTCGAGCTGTCAATACATCGTATAGAAAAGATCTCTTTTCACCTGAATTTGCTTTTTACAATCTGTTAACGTTTTCCTTGTTATCTGTTTTTTTTTTTCCCGCGTCAGTTCACCTGTTTGGCGTGCAGTACGTACACGCCGTGTGAAGTGTGTGTAGTAGTACTGTGCTGTATAGCATTATAACCAACGTTATATTTTACGGTTTCTCCCACCTAATACGGTCCGATTTTTCCTGCCAAATATTGTCCGATTTTTCCTGCCAAACTGTCCGATTCGTCCTGCCAAATATTGTTCGATTCCCCCTGCCAAATACTGTCCAATATTTCCTGCCAAATACTGTCTGATTTTTCCTGCTAAACAGTGTCCGATTCCCCCTGCCAAATAGTGTCCGATTTCCCTGCGAAAAAAATGTCCGATTTTTCCCTGCTAAATACTGTCCGATTTCCCCTGCCAAATATTGTCTGATTCCCCCGCCACTGAATATTGTCCGATTTTTCCTACCAACAAATACTGTCCGATTCCCCGCCCTGCCAAATATTGTCCGATTCCCCCTTGCAAAATACTGTCCGATTTTTCCTGCAAAATACTGTCCGATTTTTCGCCCTTGTTCTCGCTCGATCGACTGTCCGCCGAATCCACCCGGAGAAGCTAGCACGCCGGGGAAGTGAGACCGTGACACCGGACATATTTGGCACCGGACACTATTTGGCATGTATAAAATAGTGTCTGGCGCCTACTGCGCATGCTCAGCGGACACTATTTGGCACCGGACGGTTTTTGACACGACACCGGCCCGTATACTAGTACATGTACATGGTATATGATATCGCGCATCGCGGTTCGCGACATTCGCCGTACTAGCTGCACAGCCACTGAGTTTAAGTCAAACCACTCTGCTCTGCAATTTGGAAGGAAAGTGATTGACAGACCAGAATTGATCTGTACGAAGGTATACTTTTCTACAAGTAGTGGACTGCATCACCATTTAGCACGAAAAATTCCCGAAAAAAGGTCATGATGGTAGGTATATTAAAAAAAAGGATCAAAAGTTGCAACCTGACGCATATTTCCTTGCTCCATGATGTCATGCATGTCATGACTGTAGTGTAGTCCGACTAGCCCCATAAATGTGGTCAATTTACTGGACTACCTCCGTAAACATAGGCCACACTTCCACATGTAGGCCTACAAAAACGTGTCAAACTTGTCGAAATTTTGATACGGAAACGTGTGCAAATGAATCTGGAAATTTCACCCAAGGCAAAAATAGACATCTGAAAAAGGCAGCACTTTCTGATTAGCCTATAAAGAGGGTGAGTATGCTTCTAAAGCAAAAAAACCCTGCAAACTAAGCCTAAAATAAGTAAAAGTTCGACACGTTTTTGTACATGTGGAAGTGTGGCCTATGTTTACGGAGGTAGTCCAGTAAATTGGCCACATTTATGGGGCTATAGTCCGACATGTGGCCACATGGAGTAATTGCAGATTTACCCCCCCCCCCACTCGCAAACACACCCCTAAAAAGCAAAATCTCTGGCTACGCGGTAGCCCCATAAACGTGGCCAATTTACTGGACCACTTCTGTAAATAAAGGCCACACTTCCACCATGTACAAAAACATGTAGGCCTATTGTAGAACTTTGTCATATTTTGATTTTCACATTTAGGCTTAGTTTTGTAGTTTATTTTTGCTTCAGATTACTCACCCTCTTTATAATTACTAGGCCTATCTGACTATAGGCTAATCAGAAAGTGCTGCCTTTTGAGATGTCTTTTTTTCGTGAAATTTTCAGTTTCGTTTGCACACATTTGTGTATCCAGATTTCAATATGAAATTTCACAAAATCAGACATCTGAAAAAGGCAGCACTTTCTGAATATTAACAGGGTGAGTATGGTTCTAAGCAAAAATAAACTGCAAAGTAAGCCTAAATGTGAAAATAAAAAATTTGACAAAGTTCCTATGTTTTTGTACATGGTGAAAGTGTGGCCTTTAAATTGGCCACATTTATGGGGCTAGCTACGCGGTTGGAATCACTGGAAAAGAAACAACATATGGAGTAATTGCAGAATACCCCATACTCCACTTCGGAAATACACCCCTAAAATCTCAGGCTACGCGGTTGGAATCACTGAAAAAGAAACAATTCAAGTCCATTGCCAGCTACGCAGATACTGAGTTGGGGTCCCCTTGAGAACAAAGCAACACAAAATGAACGGGAGTTGCTGAAAATGTTTTAAGTCCAAACCAATTACCCTCATGCTGGCTACACAGGAAGTGGGAGTCCCTTGATATGCTTGAGAACGAAGCAACACAAAAGGAATGGGAGTTGCTGAAAAAATTCTTAGCCCAAGCCAACTACTCTGTTGACGGCTACGCGGATAAGGAGTGGGAGTGCAGTGGAGCATGACATGTGTAGGCCTAGTACGTACACTACAGGTAGCGCTGACTTTTTTTAGGGCAATCAAATGTGACTCCGTAGCAGGTTACGAGGTGCATAGACCGAGTGGCGGGGTATTCTGCAATTGTGCCCGAGGGAGTAACTAGGACTCTACGAATCGCCTTTTTTAACATTTGGAGAAATTGTTGCATCTTTCTGGAGCACATATGCCCACATAAATTGTCAGTTAATGGCAGCCATTTTGAATGTAAAAAGCGATGACCCCAAAGCTGTGGGGTCGTACTAATAATAAGCGTCAACACAGCACATGATAGAAGCGTCAACACACCATCAACACTTCCACAATGCATTGTAAATTGACAAAAAAGGCATAGAACTGTAAAGTTTAGACTTAAAGAGATTTTCGGTGTGTCACAGGTTACATTTCGTTTACGAAAATGGATTTTTTTACCCCAAATAATGATCTCTAAGCAGCACTTTCATTGTCGAGTCCGCCATCTTGCCTTCGGACGGAGCTTGGGCTACACATTTTCAGATATGGGTATGCAGGTAATGAAATTATCATGTCGTATGCGAATTCACACTTAATGACCGCCCTCTATTGATTGATTGTATGATGCTAATGGTATTGTCCACGCTGGCCCCGAGGCAAGATGGCTGCCGATTTCAGAGCTGCATGTTTCTGCACGGATAGCCAAATTTATTGAACTGAAAATTGCAATTTTCAGACGTTTAACCTATTGATTTTAAGCCAAATTTCATTTTTGCCCATACTGTACGGTTTTAAGACTGGTTTTGACAATTTCAATGCATTTTGGAGGTGTTGACGCTGTGTTGACGATGTGTTGACACTGTGTTGAAGCTTATTAGTATGACCGAAGCTGTGACGTTGCGCTTTATGCAAATCGATCTTGTCGCTCAGGCGTGCGAGTTGCGATGCGACGGCTGTTTTTTTGTACAATTCATTCGCCCATTCTGTATGGCTGCGCGCTATAATACTATCAGTTGACAGTCTGACGCCGCCTGCAATATGCACTATATACATGTACACGGTGTCTGTGGTTGGTTCCCAGACCAAAAGACTGTGACGTCACGACAACAACGCTTCGCATTCATGTTAACGTTAAAACTCAAACTGTAGCTTCGCTTCGGTACAGAAATGGTACTGTTTTCATCATTTTTTTGCACCATCAGGATCGATTCAACTCTTAAATTTTAAGCGAACAGAACAAGAGTATGGCAAGAAGTACTGGGCATCTATATGCTTGGGCTAAAATATACAGCGGCCACTCCAAAACTCAACTCTAGGTTGACTAGTCCGAGTAGCTTGGACCCAACTTATTGCCTTTTTAACATTCGGACATGGTCTGGCGATAGTAGGGTCCAAGCTAAACCGCTGCCATCGCGCAATTCTGCAACACAATTCTGCCATTGACCCAAAAACCCAACATTGCCCAACAAAAACATTAGATTTCACCCTCAAAATGGCCTTCAAATAACTAGATATGCCACTTGAGGTACAATTAGAGATTGACATTTAGTAAAGTTTACTTACGATCCTGATGACAAGTGAAATTTCCCGTTCAATTCTGAGAGTGAGAGCTCCCCTCGTGTTCGTGAACACGTTAAATTTCCGACTCGTGTTTGAAAACGTGATGTGGTTGTGCCCAGCGTTCCTTCAAAGGTCCCTGTATCCCAAGTGCGATTGTGTTACTGAGTGCGATGCATCGATTATGATAATGAGTAGACTGGATCTCGTTTGAAAACTCAAGTGCATTTCGAATGATGATATGGACTCGGGAAATAGGGCAGCTTTCATGAGCGGAAACCCGTTCAAGCTAGTTCCCGACTACTAGTTCCCGACTACTATCGCCAGACCATGTCATGTCCGAATGTTAAAAAGGCGATAAGTTGGGTCCAAGTTACTCGGACTAGGTTGACTGTATATTATTGATAGAGTATACAGCATGTTCGCGTTGATATGCTTACCTACATTTACATGTATGGTATGGGTATTGTGTAATAAGACCCATAGTTCTAGGGGTACTCCTAATAGCGCTCCACCATATCGGCATACCCTGTACTTTTGTGACTGGTACACGGTAGCATTTTGAACATACCCACGCGAAGACAAAAGCCCCCCCCCCCCAACCCCCCCAAAAAAAACTATAAAGAGATTACAAATGAGAAAGACAGTTACCCTGGATAGAGCTACACATTCGTGACATTCAATAAGAGCCCTTAAATTGTTCCCAACAAGCGGTAATTTTGAAGAAAAAAAAGAGCAAAATAGTCTGAAAACTTACCGCTTGCAATTAAATGTGTTTGCTAAGTTGTTCAATCCTTTTCACTGCTCTTCCGTTAAGGGCTTGTGTGATGTCACCATCGTTGACAGAAGAAAAACAAGTTGCACTGGATCAGTGACTGTTTTATGTAGTAACAAATTTTGGCTTGCTAATAATACGGTATGGTAGTTAGCAAAGCTAAATCAAAAAACGTGGTGATGTATCATTTTGTTGATTGGTGGGGGGGGGGGGGGGCAACGTATTACGTGATGGTTCCTCCTTTTCGTGATTGGTGTATGACATCAAATAGGATTACTTGGGCTGTTCCGTTTTGTAAACCTAGTATGTAAACAAGGCAGATACCGGTACATGCAAATTTTTCCCACGACCTTTAGCCAACAAAATAAAATACAAAAGATTTTTTAATGGTCATATTTCAGTTGTCCGATTTTGAAAATTCAAACAGTTAGGCCTATGACCCTAGTTTCCTCTCACTTGACCCCAAAAGTGGCTTTTAAAACCCTTAAAAAAAGCGCGTAAAGCCCAAAGTCTGGTTTCCTGTGGGACGTACATGCAGACAATTTTTTTTTTCTTCACTATATTATATTATGAGGTTTTTTATCCCTGCGCAATTGCAGAATTTTAGAAATAAACATACATCTTTAATAATGAGAGAACTTTGACCTTTGAGCGTTTGAATGAATGTTCTCTAGGTACGTACATGTACGTACGACATTATACAAAAAAAGATCGATTCTGTGAATCAAGTTGAGACACCTTCGTAGTGACATCAAATCCCAATCTTCAGTGAGGGACGTCCGGGCTTTGATGTTATTTAAATTGTTCTGCCTAATAGCAACGAATCATCTTTATAGTCACAAGATTCGTGACCCATGTTTCTGAGTGTGGCAATAAGAGGTTTCATTACCTTACAGTCATGTAGTTAATAAGGCAAAGCGTCTGCCATAGTTAAGCAAAGCTAAAAAAATCGCCGTCATCGATGCCGAAACGTCAATACTGGTTTACTGGTATAGCTGACCTTCAAGTGTGGAAGAAATCGTTCGAAAACTTCCCCAAATCTCTGTATTTATATCCATTTTTTAGGAGTTTCTCAAATTTGCTATTTCACGAGCAGTTATATAATTTAAGTATATTCCGAATTTCAGCTTAATGTGTTGTTGCAAACGCTAGTGTTACAATTTGAACGATTCCCATGGAAAATTTTGACGATGATTTCTGCCGAATTTCTTCACATGCATTGTTCAGCAAACCCCCTTAAGCGCTACGGTTGACCGATTTCGGCCAAGCCACACAATATCGTATTTTAGATTAGG